GGTTTTGATGATGGGACACAATAACTAACTACATTGTATATTGACAAAAAAAAAAAAAAAAACCATGAATAATAAAGTATAAAGAAATAAAAGGAGAACCTACCTGAAGTCTTGCTAGCTGTGCAGTACGGGCTACTATTTTATTGTATGGCTCAACAATCTTTGCTTTCATCCTAAAGGAAAAAAAAAAAAGAAGAGTAAAACTAAAGTCATTTTCAAAATATCACGGATAAAAATACTTCCATTCCATTTATTTATAATATGAGCAATGGTACCTATCAACAGCTCCTTGTAAAGCCCCAATTCTCGTCTGCATCATCTGAAGAACACCTAGGAAAACATAACAGCTTACATTGGCTTTACACATTTATAAGGGTTCAAATTAAGTAAAAAATTAAAATAACACATATACATATATAATTTTAATTTTTTCTGCTACCATCCTAATCTAAACAACCAATATCTTCTTCGTGCACCATTGTAAAAGCCTACAAAGTAGTCTCTCCTTCCAATCCTTGCCCCACAAAAGAAGCCTGAGAGGGAGTGAGGAGAGACTCGGTATGGAGTTTCCTTTTGTGATAATAAAAAAATGTTCTGGAACTAGAAAGTGGTGATGGTTGCATGACATGGTAAATATACTTAATACCACTGAATTGTACACTTTAAAATGGTAAATTTTGTCATGTGTATTTTACCACAATTACAAAAGAAAAAAAAGTCTGAGCGATCTTTAAAAGTTCAAATTGTACCATAACATTCCTCTGCTTAAAACCTCTCCATGGTCTCCCCTTCACTCCTATAACTCTCAAAAATTAAAACTACAGTCCACACTTTAGTATAGAAGGAAGGCCTTGCATGATCTGGAAATAGTATACTCTCTTCCTAGTATACTCTGTCCAACCCTCACCACCACACTCCTACTAGATAAAGTCTTACTATTTCTCCAAGCCTTGGCTTATGGAAACAATTACCAAATCCCCAACTAATTTAGATTCTGTCTTTCTCTTCTATAACACACTATACTTTTACAGTACTTCATGACACTAGTTATATATGTTTAATGTTTTATTCCCCCACTAGACTATAAAGGAAAATACCTTTTTCATTCACTACTGAATGATCAGAGCCTAACTCAGAATAATTCCCGGGGTAAGTAGTCAATAAATATTTGTTGAGTTAATGAAGTATGTGCTATATAAAAAATAAACATGAATAGCAAGCATATTATTGCCTTTATTCTCTAGGTTTAAAACATGAAGACATTTTTACAAAATTGTGAAAATATTTTTAGAAAAATAGATCTTAAATTTTATTATCTAGGCTTTCCATTACTACAGAGATTTAACTATTTTTTTTTTTTTTGTCTTTTGTCTTTTTTCCGTGTCCGGCAACGGATCGCAACCCTCAGTGTTGCCCCCGTACCGGACCGGGGACCGGCAACGGGATTGCAAGCCTCGGTGTTGCTCCCGCGCCTCGCTCAGCCAGCGAGTGGGAGCCGGTCTGTATGTGGGATCCGAACCCTCGGACGGGAGCGCCGCCGCGCTTCCCAAGCGGCGCACTATCCAGTGCGCCACCGGGCCGGCCGAGATTTAACTATTTTGAATTCCACTCTTTAAAACTCAGTTTCTATATTTAACTAGCATAGTTATAGTTTTTAAAACATAATATTCTAAATAATTTTAAGTATGGAAATGTTGTCATATATTAAATGAAGTAACATTAGAACTAATAAACATTCAAGGGCTGGCCCATGGCTCACTCGGGAGAGTGTGGTGCTGATAACACCAAGGCCACGGGTTCGAATCCTGCATAGGGATGCAGGGTTCACTCACTGGCTGAGCGTGGTGCTGACAACACCAAGCCAAGGGTTAAGATCCCCTTACCGGTCATATTTAAAAAAAAAAAAAACTAATAAACGTTCCTATCAGCATATAAGTATGTGTTAATATGGCTCAGTCCAACAGAATCCTCTTTGGACCTGAGCATTCTCACTTCTCTGATGCTTTTATGATTCATTTAGTATAAACCTCCAAGACTGCACTGTCCTTACTTGTTATCACCATTTCCTTACATCTTAATCTCTCCACAACCCACTCTCAATATATTTTCATAAGTACTTCACCCAAAACAGATCTTATCAAGGTCACCAGAAATCTCCAAGTTGCCAAATTCTACTGACAGTTCTATCTTTATCTTGTTCAAACTCTCAGAAATTCATTACATAGGTGACCACTCTCTCCCCGAAACATTTTTCTCTAGGCTTCCAAGTCATCACGTTCTCTGGGATTCCTCCTAAGTCCTTAGTTGTTCCTAGTTCTATTAAATCTCTATAGGATGGAGTACCTCCAGAATTGATCCTCAGTCATCTTCTCTTCTCCATTTACAATATTTCAGAGATTTCATTCAGTCCCAATTTTTTTTTTTTTTTTCCTTTTTGTCTTTTTTCGTGACCGGCAACGAATCGCAACCCTCAGTGTCGCGCCCGTACCAGACCGGGACCGGCAACGGGATCGCAACCCTCGGTGTTGCGCCCACACCTCGCTCAGCCAGTGAGCGGCCGGTCTGTATGTGGGATCCGAACCCTCGGTGGGAGCGCTGCCGCGCTCCCAAGCGGCGCACTGTAGCAGTGCGCCACCGGGCCGGCCCCAATGTTTTAAATACTATCTGTTCAATAAAATACTGATTTCATACACTCAGACAAGCCTTGAACTCTGCTATGTCAAATTTAAGATATCCAAGATAACTTCTGCCACAGCCCATCATAAATCATAATCTTCTTCAGTCTATCCCATCTCAGTTACTCATACCAACATCCACCCAATTTTTTAGACCAAAACCCTAGGAATTATTCATGGTGACTTCTTGCATCTTCTACCAAGTCCTTTCAAGCTCTGCCTCCATTCTACCCTACCCACTTCTCTCTCTCTCTTTATATCCACTACTCTAATCCAAGGCACCATCAACTTCAAATATTCTGATAGCTTCCTGATTTGTACCCCTGATTCCACTCTTGTCTTTCTATAGAGTCACCAGAGTAAACTATATAGAGAATTAATCTCATCACACAATACCCTGATTAAAACCCTCCCACAATCTACCATTGCATTTAGAATAAAATCAAAATTCCTTTCCAAGAACCTCATCTATTATTCTCTCTCTCATTCACTAAACGTCAGTCATTCTGACCTACTCTCTGCCCCTCAAACAGGCCAAATTTATTCCTGCCTTCCCATTGATTGTTCTCTAAGCCTGCAGTACACTTCTCCCTAGACTTTACACGATGGTTCCTTCTCATCACTCAGATCTTGGCTCAAATTTTATCTTCTCAAAAAGGCTTTCCCTGACCATCCTAGATAGTAAGGGACTCCCTTTCTTCCACCCCATTACCTGTTTTATTTTCTTTGTAGGCCTTACAAATATCTTAAGTTTCTGTTTGTACATTCTTTTTGTCTACCTCCCAACCTGGAACATAAATTCCATAAGGATAGTGACTTGGTCTTTTGTTCACACATGCCTGGCACCTAACAAGTTCTCAATTACTATTTGATTAATTGAGTGAACGAATGAATGATTAAGTGAACAAATGAATGAATGGGGTTATCTCTTCTTAATAAAATAGGTTTAATAAATATTCCTCAAAATTCCAAGAACAGAGAACTCTATTGTTACAGCTGTCTGGAACCTGGCAAATTATCAAAGTAGTATTTGAATGAATGAACAAAAAAATGAATTGGGGGCATTTTTTAAAATAAAATAGGCTTAATGAATGTACCTCCAAACTTACATGGCACAATTTTTACATGTTTGGGAAAAAAAGCAAAGGAAGTAGAAGCTGGGATAATTCTCAAATTTTCTAATACATGTATATACCATACTTACTTTCCAGCTTCTCAAAATAACATTTTAATAAGTGCTTAGAAATACATACCATGCTAAAATGAACATTAATCAATTCATGCTTGGACTTTTTATGTTCAAATAATTTGGAAAACATTCTAAGATTATCATAGGAACTCAAAAAAGCCAGCCTTTGTATTCTATAAACTCATCCAATGGATAGTCATTCTAACTCAGTCTAACAGACTATTTCAAATGCTGTAATCCTTGAAAAGCATTCTGGGGAAAACAAGTAATTACAGAGTTAAAGTGGATATAAGAAAACCACAATGAGAAATATTTCTGTTGTGAGGATTCATTTATACCTATACTCACTCAGAATGAATATGCTACCATGCCATCCTTATAAATATTTATAAATGAAAAACTTATCATTTGTTTAAAAAATTACCATTGAAATATTACTTGCTTTCTGAAACCCATATAAATATGATGAGATTAAAAATATATAATTTCCGGGCCGGCCCGGTGGTGCACTGCTACAGTGCGCCGCTTGGGAGCGCGGCGGCACTCCCGCCGAGGGTTCGGATCCCACATACAGACCGGTTCCCGCTCACTGGCTGAGCGAGGTGCGGGTGCAACACCGAGGGTTGCGATCCCGTTGCCGGTCCCGGTCTGGTACGGGCGCGACACTGAGGGTTGTGATCCGTTGCCGGACACGAAAAAAGACAAAAAGGAAAAAAAAAAAAAATATATATATATATATATATAATTTCCAATACTAAGTCAATCAGTACTTAGAGCCTCTTAATTTTCCCAAGAACATAATTGGATATCTATCTACACCAGATTTTCAAATAACAAACTATTATTTCTGAAAATACTAAGTTCTTCATCAGGATGTCTTAGAAACATTGTGTGTGCTGAGAATAAGTTAATACCTTGAGTACATGAAAAATATGGGGGAAAGCATTAAAGAATATTTTATCACAGAATATTTTATCTGTGAATTTGATCAGCATAGGAAAAAATGCCTTAGCTTTCTTTTGATGTGCAATGATTAATCATAGTAATCACAACACAAGTAATAATGTAAAACACAATAGTAACATTTCGTATTTATGAGATGTAGTTTAATCGAAAGAGAATAAAAAATTCATTAAAGATTTAGCCAAACAAAAATAAGAGGATTTATAAAAATGAAAATCCAATGTATTATCATTCTACTATACTTTCATTGAAAAGTGTTTCAAAGAAATACCCCAAGAAAGGCAAAAAGAAGGAAAGAATTCAAGCCTACTTCTACTACTAACCACTCTAGCAATTCTGATTTTTTTTTTTGTTTTGATTAACTAACACTTACAGGAGCATTAAATACATGCAGGCATTGTTCTAAGCATTTTGCTAACTCACTTACCTTTAGAATAATGTTATATCAGTGCATATTAATACCCTGTTTTATAGATAAGAAAATTGAGGCACAGAAAGCTTAAGTAACTTGCCCAAAGTCACACATCTAGTACGTAGCAAAGCAAGTATTTGAACCCAAATAGTTTAGCTTAGGAGTCAGCAAAGCTTTACTAAAGTTTTACTGGAGCACAGTCACACACATTCCGTTTACATATTTATTATCTGGCTGCTTTCACTCTACAATGGCAGAGTTTAGCAGTTGCAACAGAGACTGTCTGGCCTGCAAAGTCTAAAATACTTACTCTCCAAGCAGGATCCATAGTTCAGTGATTAGAGCACTGGTCTTGTAAAATACTTACTCTCCGATCCTTAAGAGAAAAAGCTTGCCAATTCCTGGTCTAGCTCTATATAATCTGTAATAGTTAATAGAAATATACCTTCTAAAGACTCAATCCCAGTTGCTTGTGCCAGTAAATCTTCATGTCTTGCAACGACCTGAAAATCAAGAATAAATAACCAGCATTTGCTCTAATTAACTATTAGGTATCTTTCTTTGTAACCACAATGTAGAATTGAAGGGCTCTCTCTGTGTATAAAGGGAGCAAACACTAATACAAAAGAAAATAATACAGGTTATGAAGGTGTATTTGAGATGAATTATTACCAGGAACACATACATACACTTATATTTCAACACAGAGCAGGAAGAGATACCACCTTTCACTACCCCTGACAATCCACTCAGTCTGCTATGACAAAATACCTTAGGCTGGGTAATTTATAAAGAACAGAAATTTACTGCTCACAGTGCTGGATGCTGGGAACTCCAAGATCAAGGCACCAGCAAATTCAGTGTCTGGTGAGGGTCCACTCCTCCATAGATGGTGCACATCTTCTATGTGTCCTCACATGGTGAAAGGAGTGAACAAACTCCCTTGGGCCTCTCTTAGAAGGTCACTAATCAACTCCTAAAGGTCCCACCTCTTAATACTATCACATTAGGGATTAAGTTTCAGCATGGGAATTTTATGGGGACACAAACAATCAGAGCATAGCAAGCCCCTTGTTCTCCTAATGGGATGTGCAAGAGGAGTTGTACCAAAATGGAAAAAACAGCTGATTCTTGCCATACTTTTATTATGCTTTCCCTTTAAAGAATGTTTTCAAACATCAGGTTCTCTTAATTCTTTAGCTTAATTCAGCATCAAGGCCACATCCCAATCTAGAAAGATAAAGTGCCCACCTATCCCTGAACATCTCTCTGTTTCCAGCTTCCCAATGTCACAGCAAATCCTCTTCCCCAGAGAAGATGGATAGGTTTAAGAAAATTAGGGCAGTATGAATGGCCATAACAAAAAACCAAAAAGGCTAAGAGTTAAAAGCCACACGCAAGAGATTCCTAGGAACATCAAGAAATCATGCAAATCTTTAGAATAATATATTTTGTACCCTTTATTCCAATAAATAAGAAGTTTCATGTCTAGCCTATAAACTGAAGTTCCTCATCAACAAAGGTTGACTCACTGGAACCCCTACATCTTTTACTTTGTCCTGTTTCAGATATCACCGCCATTCTATCAAGTCTCTTTCTATTATATCCATCTAAAATAAGTGTTACTTTTGGTCTTAGATGTCTTTTATTCTTAAGGTTGCCAGAAAATGTCTGATTTTTCCTTAGTCTATTAATATGGTCATCAATGTGTCCATCTTAAAAAGACTAATTTTCTTTTAATTATCTATTCTCCTTTATCCCTTGTGATACTTTGGAAAGGTTGAAAAGCCTAAAACTATACTTTCATAGATTCCCTTACAGCCAATTAGATGAACTTCCAAGAGATACAGAAGACAGAAGAGAGATGAAAGCTACCTTCTTACTGTTTCAGCTAGTAAACTAACCCAAAGCCTGACAACTAAAAGCATTTTCTACAGCTGGCCAATCAGCTCACTTAGTAGAGTGTGGTGCTGATAACACCAAGGTGAAGGATTCAGATCACCATACAGGCCAGCCTGCAAGAAAAAGGAAAAAAAGAAAAAAGCATTTTCTAAATATTCATCAATTAATATTGAACTCTAATTTTATATTGAGAATTTCAGAGTTAAAGAGACTTTAGAACTCATCCCAGTCCTATCTAAGATGTTCTTTCAACTGATAAAAAATGAAGACACAAAAAGTTTAAGTGGGTATATCTCAGGTTATACCAGATCTAGATTTTCTGGTTAAAAAAAAAAAATGCATTTGTTCATTCATTTAAATATTTTTAAAGTATCTACTAAGACAAAAGGCAACACTAGGAAGTATGCCATTAAACCACCCTACAAAAATTACAGAATTATAGAAGAAGAAACCTTCAAGATTATCTACTCCAATTGAGATAGGAGGTAGTCTCCCTGGGTTCAGGTTTCAGGCCACTCCCCTGGGTCTCAAATCACTCTCCTATGACTCAAGCCCCATCTCTCATTCCTGAGCTAAGGTGACCTGTGGCACCTATTTGTGGCACCAGCACATGGATGTTGAAACCACAGAAGGCAGACTTGTATAATCTCAGTGGCCAAGCATGCTCAGTAAAAACATTTATCCTTGAGTGTGGACTTTGACCAATGAGCATGCTCCAGAAGAGACCAACTGAGCATGTGCAAGACTAGCTTTACAAAACTGAGAACTGCCTCCTTAAATATTCATTAGATAGTATGAACACATGTAGATAGTGAAACTGTAAAAGTAGAATCCAGGAAGAAGGTGGGACCATTACTGTCTCTCTGGAGCCAGCCCATACTTCACCTATGGGGTGTGTATATCTTACTTTTTGTGTTAAACTTGCTACTGGCAGGCTGCTGTTCACTCTGGAACCAGTCTGCACTTCGTAAAGTGTGTATTTCTTACTTTAGTATTAAACTTGCTAAGGCCACCCTGTCTCTGGAGCTCGGCTACACTTTCCCTGTGATGTCTGTATGTGTTATTCTTTACATTAAACCTGTTTTCATTTCCTACTATGACTCTGCTTTTGAATTCTTTCTTATGGTGGAGTCAAGAACCTGGTAGAGGACAGGGTGAGTTGAGGCCAGTTATGGGACCTCCCCAGACCTTTTCTTCTGGTATCACAATATCTTCCTCTTCTTACTCATTTCAACCCATTTGATAGATTTTAAAAAGGCTCAAAGACATTAAATGATATGAAAGTCAGTCAATAGCATAACTGAGATTAGGATCCATTTCTTAACTCCCCACATTGTGTTCTATCCACCACACTTATTAACTTTCTGTAATTTAGCAATTTCTACACTTTGTGCTCATAAAGTGTGAACTACTGATGAAATATCCCAATTTCTCCTATTCATATGGTTCTACTTCTAAAATTCCATTTTTTATTATCTTCAAAGACATACTATTTTTTGCCCACTATATTCATTGCACATTAGTTAAGGTAATGAACAGAAGTATGAATAAAAAGTTTTTGGAGAGATGGGTATATTATTTTTTCAACTATGAAAAAGTAATTTACAGAACACTTTTCAGAAATGTACTTTAAAAAATAAGTTACACTGGTAAGTTATGTATTTGTTCATGTAAATATGCATTTAGATTTAACAATAATAAGATTTCAAAAATGCTAAATATCACTTTAGGTTGAATAATCTGTACAATCCAGAAGACTGGAATTACCTGTAGGTGTAGTTCTTTATCCAATTGACTGATTCCTTGGGCAAGTTTTGCTAGTTGTTCAGCAATTACAGCTTGATGAATAGATTGGGAAGTATAAGTCTTTACATCAAAGTCTTCATTTAAAAAATCGCTGTAACACTCTGGGGGAAAAATAAAAGCAAAAGTTCTTAATCACCCTGTACTAAACTAGTTATTAAACATAGAACAATTACAATCATAATTAACAAATTTTAAGGTCTTCCTATACACTAGGTACCGTAGTGAATGCTCCATACAATAATGAGGAGGAAGTGGAATGGGCAACTGCAGAAGAAAAGTAGTAATACTCCTGAGAGTTAACTATGTGCCATGCACTGATCTAAATACTTTCCACATATTAACCCATTCAATCCTCACACTACCCTGTTGGAACTACCATTTCCCCATTTCACAGATGAGGAGATAGGTACAGACAGGGAATGCAACTTGTCCAACATAACTGTCTGAGATGTGAACCCAGGAAATCTATTTGCAGTGCCCACACTCTGAACCTCCCTGCTGTACTGCTAAATGCTTATTTTTTATTACTATACTTATCATTACATAATGTAATCATTTTTTGTGGCCTTTACCAATTTCTTCCTAGCTCCCCTCCCCATTTCCCCTCCCTGGTGGCCTCAGTTCCATTCTCTCCTTCAATGAATGATTGTGATTGTTCTATCTTTCTTTCTTTGTTTTTTAACTCCCACTAATGAGTGCAGACATGTGATAGTTCTCTTTCTGTATCTGGCTTATTTCACTTAAAATAATTTTCTCTAAGTTCCTTCATGTTGCTGCAAATGGCAGAATTTCATTCCCTCTTATGGCAGAGTAGTATTCCATTATGTATGTATACCACGTTTTCCTTATCCAGTCATCTGTCAATGGACATTTAGATTGGTTCCAACTCTTAGCTATTGCAAATAGAGCTGTGATAAACTTGGGAGTACAGGTATCCCTTCGACATGATGATTTCCATTCCTTTGGGTATACACTCTACAGTGGGATTGCTGGGTCATACGGCAGTTCTATATGTAGTTGTTTGAGGAAACTCCATACTGTTTTCCATAGTGGCTGCATGAGTTTACAGTCCCACCAACAGTGTAGGAGGGTTCCTCTTTCTCCCCATCCTTGCCACGGTGAGATGGTATCTCAATGTGGTTTTGATTTGCATTTCCCTGATGCTTAGTGATTTTGAGCTAAATGCTTACTTTTATAGGGAATCAAAAGGAAGGAAAACATTGAGTAAAAGATTAAAAACATAACTTAACAATATCCTTTAATTCAAGAAAGCAAGTCATTGCCAGTGAAAAGACAACAGGAAAATTGGCTATATAAAATTCTCACAACCTCAGATATCTCTTAATCAATGCATACTGTTACAATAAAGTAAATCTGTAATTTTAATAGAAATAGGCAAACACAAACTTACAGGTATTAATGGAAATTTAGGATTTATGGGTAAAATAAGCAAAGAAAAACAGTTCAAACTGGCCCTTAATAGACAGGAAAAAGAATTGATACTAAATGTTAAGGTGTCTTTCTATAAAGAAATCCACAGATCTGCAAGTAAAACAAAATTGAGAGATTCAAAGTTAAAAATAGATAAAAAGAAATGAGGCTCAAGGTAGGCATATACTGCAACCTCCTAACCATATGGTATAGATAAGGCTGCCCTGACAGAGATTTTGAAACTAACAAGCAAAATAGAGTACTTATAAGAAAACTTCGATTGCCTTTATCCACTGTCGTATATGCTCCATTAGTTTTTGTTTTGTTTACTACCACATCCCCAGAGCCTGAACAATACCAAAGATATGGCAGGTGCTCAATATTGGTTGACTGAATTAATTCATCTATTTATCAACTGAAGGTATCATTCTGCTAAAAACAAAGACTCATATTCTTGACTACTCTCAAAATGTACTGGAGTGAAAAAAGAAACTGCTAGTTTGGTCTTAATTCTGAGAACCACATTTCCTTCCAATTTGCCAGACAGACAAACGGAGAAGGCCACTTCAAGCAGAGGGAAGGTTTAGCAGCAACAAATGCCATGGCATATTTTGAGAAAAAAGAGAAATATTGACCTCAATATATCTAGAACATAAAGTGTATGTGTTGGGCAGAAAGGTAAAGAATGATAGATGAGGTTCCAAAAGAAGGTTTGGGGACAATTTGAAAGCAGGTTTGTAACACATCCAAAATATTTGAACTACAGTCATTCTCGGTATCTCTAGTTCCAGGACCTCCCTTGGATAGCAAAACCTGTGGATGCTGAAGTCCCTAATATAAAATGGTACAGCATTTGGATATAACTTTTGCACATCTTCCCATACACATTAAATCATCTCTAAATTACTTATAAGATCTAATACAACATAAATGCTATGTAAACAGTTGTTATACTATATCGTTTAGGGAATAATGACAAGAAAAAAAAGGCTGTACATATTCTGTGCGATTTTTTTCTTTTTCCAATATTTTTGAGGATGGCCAGTTAGCTCACTTGGTTAGAGCACAGTGCTGATAATACCAAGGTCAAGGGTTCATAGCAGCATACCACCCAGATGCCAAAAACATATACATACACACACACACATTTTTGAGGGATCTGAAGTTGTTGGTTGAATCCATGGATGAAAAACCAATGGATATAGAGGGCTGACTTTATATCCCATTTAAGGTTTTAAGAAAGAGCACTGCCAGCTTTGTGTCCAAAAACAATAATTCTGGCAGTGGTATGGAGGATAACTGAAAAGGAATTAGTAACACAGCAGTATGCTGGAGTTGGCTCCTATTGGCTCTTGACAGCCAACTGTTACATTTTCAAGAATTCTGTGAGCCAGTTACATCACATGTAGGTATTTCAAAATTGACCACGGTGAGGGTATTTATACTATAGAAATCAGCAAACACTATAAAATCAGGGCTTTTCATATTTTTCCCAAAAAGCTGATTTACCAACACAACCATGATGTAGAGTCACAGAGGCCAGTGAAGTCTATGTTAAGAACCCAAGTGACATAATGAAGGCCTGAATAAGATAGTGGCACTAAGAATGTCAAGGAAGTGACAAATTTGACAAATATTCAGACAGGAAAATATGTAGGACTTAGTGACAAGCTGAAAATGAGTAATTAGGCAGAGCAAATCATGGATTCCCAAGAGCACCTAAAGAATTAGGAATTTTTAAAAAGCACAGAACCCATAAGCCACATGAAGGTATTTCAAGAAAAGAGTCAAACCCTACTACAACTTCAAGTAAGATAAGGACCAAAAAAGTGTCCATTTGATTTACCTACAAGGAAGTAATTGGAGATCTTAGCATAGTGATTTTAGTGGCATAGAATAGGGGTGACTGGGTCCCTGGGGAGACAGGAAGAAAATCCAGAGCACAACAGGAAGACTGTCCTTAAGCAGCAGCACAGACTAAACTTCTGTTGTAATCAATAATGCAAGGGGAGGAATGGTGGGTTGCAGGTTCTGGTTTGGGGGCTGGCCAGTTAGCTCAATTGGTTAGAGCACAGTATTGATAACATCAAGGTCAAGGGTATAGATCTGTTTACCCAACAGCCCCCGAAAAAAAAAGTGTCCAGGTTTGACAGCAAGAAATGGAAAGTTCACATCATATGGATTTTTTTTTTTTTTTTTTTTTTTTAGGAAAACAGTCATTTGTTGAGCTTGAAGGGACAGGTTTGAAGAGGGTAAAGAAGATTTAAATAATCACTGTGGAGAATGGCAAAGAGAATAGGAAAATACAGAAGGGAGCATTAAGGACTATTCACCCTCCAAAAACTGGATTACAATTCCTGGAATGCATCCTACTGAAACATATTCCCATTTTTTGGCACGTGTTGTTCCTTCCACTTGTTCACCTGAGGAAGTCCTATTGACACTTCAAAACCAACTCCACCTAGAAAGCTTTTCCTGACACTCCCTAACTAGTCTTTAACCTCCAGTTACCATCTCTTTTATATTAATGTTCTACCTTGTACACACTCGTACTGCTACCCTTACAACTCTAAATTACAGTGCCTACCTCTATATCTCTACAAGATTATTTCCCCTACTACACAGTGAGTGAGGGTGGGAACTGAACATTTACCAGAAGTTCAAAACTTGGTTAAACTGAATTTAAATTAGGATATAAAGATGCATTAGACAAAGACCCTAACCTAAAGAATCTAACACAATCTAGTTCAGAAAACCACATTAGTTTTGACAAAAGTATATAAACTATCATGTTAAGGCAAGTAATTAAGGACAATGATAAAATGTTTGACAGTTGAGAAAAACCAATTTAGAATTTTATTTCAATCATTTATAGTCCATTTTGGTCTACAGGTACATGCATGTGCTTCTTACAGTGATGTTCAGTTTAAAAAACATTTATTCTGCACCTGATGTATGCAAAACATTTCTATTAACACTGTGGAATATAAAAGGGGGGTTTACAGTACAATAGAAGAGATTAAGTTAAGTATACAAATGATTTTAATACAAGGTAGAATGTGATGGCCATTGGGGGGGTAATGAAGAATAGGTAAGATGGGCTTTTTGGGGGGCGCTTAGAAATTTGAACTTTATTCTAAAGGATAAGAGATTCGGGACGTGGTAACTGAATTAAAACAACGTATTTTCAAGAGTACTATATTTAACTTATCTTCTCATTTTGGGCAACTTCTCTCCGAAACTAGCAATAAATCTGACAGCCATATTCGATACAAATAGTTAATCCCACAATGCCCGAACCCCCCCCCCCCAATGTCTGACTATGTGGATAATTGTTTCGTAAAAAAACAAACAAGCCTGAAAGAAGGGCCAACTGTAATTCCAAGAATTTGTTAATGGAGCGGGTGTTTCCAACTCTACTTTTTTCATTAAGCGTCTGTCATCTGTTCTAAGCGTCTGTCATGGACTCGAACACAGCCCTTTCGTCAAGAATTGCGGCAGCAGTCTGTGGCTGCCAACCTGGGTCGCCGGGTGAGGGGTCCGGGAATTTCAGGGAAGCCCCAGGCGCGTGGGTAGTCGAGTTGAAATGAGGAGCAACCAGAAACCAGGTGTCCCCAAAACACAGGAAGGGAAGAGGGGAGCAAGTACCTAGGGAAACAAGTCGCCGAGGCCCGCACCCGGACGCCAGGGGGCCGGGCGGAGGGGAGTGGTCACGTCGAGTCCGAAAAACTTTCTGCAAAGAGATGGGTCGAGTCCACCATCACTGGCCGGGCGCGGAGCAGGACAGCCCCCTTGCCCCAGCACCCGCACGAACCCAGACTCCTTACCGTCCTGCAGAAGCTCCAGGACTGTCGCTGCAGCACCTCCAGAGCCCAAAGCGCCAAGGCCAGCCACAGCGACTAGGTCGTCACCACCTTCCATGTTGGCAGGTACCGGGTTGATGGCGTCAGCAGCGAGGCCGCCCCGCCCAGGCGATGACGCAAAATCCCCGCGCCGCGCTAGTTAGATCAGTTGGTTAGTGAATGTTGCTGATAACATCAAGGTCTAGGTTTCGATCCCTGTATCGGCCAGCTGCCAAAAAATAAAATAGAATTTGAGAATTAGAATAAAAATACCAGGATATCTTTTGAAACACTGACTACTTAGAGTTCTGTTAATGCCACTTAACTTTCCTGAATAAAACAAGATATTTCAAAGTACCAGTATTATATATGAAATAATTCAAATAAAATTTTCTGGTTTGTCAATGTCAAACGGAGACACGGAAAAAATTTAAAAGTCACTTATAAATAGAGGCAGAATTCTCTTGTATCAAATTTTTTGTTTGGTTTTTGTTTGTTTTGGCAGCTGGCCTGTACAGGGATTTGAATCCTGGACCTTGGTGTTATCAGCACCATGCTTTAAACAAGTGAGCTAACCTGCCAGCCTGTTGTATACTATTTAATACTGTGAAAACAAGCTAAAAATATTTGAGCCTTTAAGCCTGATGAAAAATATATGTTGTTGGCAATTGAAATTGTTAGAATGATGGGAATTCATCTAGTAAAAGTACGTTTTCACTATACAAACTGATTGTTTTTTTCAGATTTGAAACAAACCTGTATTCATGAAGAGTGACTGCATACAAACCACAATATGCCAAGAAAGAAAAAAAGATCCATTAGAAATGTTTCATTCTGGGCAGCTGATAAAAGTCTGTGCCCCAATGGTTCGATATTCTAAGTAAGTGTTTTTAAATGGTTAATGAACTTGGTTCAAACCAAGATGTAGTTGCCCTTTTATACTCTGACATTTTAAAATTACTTTAAGATCACCCATCACATGGGATCTTCAGACTACTAGCTTTGGAACCATGACTTAGAATTCAGTCCTGGTGTTACCACTTGCCTCGTATGTGTATAATCCTGAGTAAACAATAACCTCTCCAAGCTTTGCTTTTTCTGTCTATAAAAATGGTCCCTCCTTCAAGGATATAGTGGATATCGAATGGATATAAACATGAATGTACAGCTTTTTGTTTGAACATAAGTCTTGGGACAAATGCTCAGGAGTACAATTACTAGGTCAATGGTGGTTTTATATTTAGATTTTTTAAAAACTGCCAAACTTGTCCAGAGTGGCAGTACCATTTTACACTTACATCAACAACATATGAGGGATCCAGATTCTCCTCATCCTCACCAACTTTTCATAATGTTACTGTTCTTTATTTTAGCCATTCTTATAGGTTTGTAGTCATACCTCATTGTGGTTTTAATTTGCATTTCTTTCATGACTAGTGATGATGAACATCTTTTTATGTTCTTATTTGCTGTCTGTATATTTTTGAAGAAATGTTTCTTCATGTCTTTGCCCATTTTCTAATTGGATTGTGTGCTTTTTTTAATAGTGAGTTGTTGGGTTTTTTTCAATTTTTAATTGTTGTAAAATACACATAACATAAAATTTACCCCTTAATCATTTTTAAATACATAGTTCAGTAGTGTTTTGTTTTGTTTTGTTTTTATCTTACAAAACTGAATCTATAGCGATTAAACAATAACTCCCCATTCCCTTCTCCTCCAGCCCCTGGCAACCATCATTCTACTTTCTCTATGAATCTGGTCACTCGAGGTACTTCATATAAGTGGAATCATACAGTATTTGTCTTTTTGAGACTAGCTTATTTCACTTAATGTCATCAACATTCATCCGTGTTGTGGTGTGTATCCGACTTTCCTTTTTAAGGCTGAATAATATTTCATCTTATGTATGTACTACATTTTGTTTATTCAGTCATCCTTTGATAGGCGCTTCGGTTGCTTTCACCTTTTGGCTATTGCAGATAATGCTGCTATGAACATGGGTATACAGATATCTCCTTGAGACCCTGCTTTCAGTTATTTTCAGCTGTGTACCCAGAATTGGAATTGCTGGATCATATGGTAATTCTATGTTTTAATTTTTTGAGAAATCTCCATACTGTTTCCATAACAGCACCATTTTACCTTCCCACCATTAGTGCACAAGAGTTCCAATTTCTTCACATCCTTGTCAACACACGTTATTTTCTGTTTTTTTAATATGCATTCTAATGTGCGTGAACCACTTATTGTAGTTTTGATTTGCATTTCCTAGGGATTAGTGATGTTGAGCATCTCTTCATGTGTTTATTATACATTTGTATATATTTGTAGAAATGCCTAATTTGCTTTCGGATTGGGTTGTTTGTTTTGTTTTTGTTTGTTTACTATGAGTGTTAAGAGATTTTTATATGTTCTAGATGCTACTCCTTTGTCAGATATGTGGATGCAAATATTTTCTCTCAATACATAGCTTGTCTTTTCATGCTAACAGGGTCTTTTGCAGAGCAAAAGTTTTTCATATTGATGAAGTCCAATTAATCAGTTTTGCCTTTTGTAAACTGTGGTTTTGGTGTCAAGTGTGAGAAATCTTTTGTGTAGCTCTAGATCCTGAAGATTTTCTCCTAAGTTGTTTTTCTAAAAGTAATTTACATTCTACATTTAAGTCCATGATTAATTTTGAATTAATTTAAGTGTGAGACTTAGGTAGAGGTTTGTTTTTTGCCCATGGATGTCCAGTTACTCCAGCACCATTTGTTGAAAAGGCTGTCTTTCTCCTCTATTGAATTACTTTTGCTTCTTTGCTAAAAATCAGGGTTTTCTGTTTTATTCTATTGATCTGTATGTCTATCCCTCCACCAGTACCACACAGTCTTGATTACTGTAGCTGCATAAGTCTTGAAATCAGGGAGACTGATTCCTCCCACTTTTTCTTTTTCAAAATTGTTTTAGCTGTTCTAGTTTCTTTGCTTTCCAAATAAATTTTAGAGTGATCTTGTCTGTATATACAGAAAAATCTTGCTGGAATTTCCATAAGAACTGTGTGAAACCTGTCTATCAGTTTGGGGAGAATTAACTTCCCTACTATGTTGAGTCTTCCAATTCATGAACACAGTATTGTCTACTCATTACTAAGAATTTTTTTTAAATTTATTTCATCAGTGTTGTGTAGTTTTTAACATACAAGTTCTATACATGTTTTGTAAGATTTACACCCAATATTTTTTTGAGCAATTGTAAGTAGTATTATATTTTTAATTCTGGTATCCATGTGTTCATTGCTAGTACATACAAATTACAGTTGGTTTTTGTATGTTGATCTTATATGCTGTGAACTTGCTGAACGCACTTATTGGTTCTGAGAGGTATTTTGTAAATTACTTGGGATTGTCTGTGTAGACAACCATGTCATCTGTAAATAGGGATGGTTTTGTTTCTTCCTTTCGGTCATATACCTTTTATTTCTTTTTCATGTCTTGTTGCACTGATGAGACGTTCCAGCACTATTTTGAATAAGCATTGATGAGAGCAGACATCCTGGACTTGTTCCTGTCTAGTGGGGAAGTGTTCTGTAGGGTTTTTTTTGTGGCTGCTCTTTATCAAGTTGAAGAAGTTCCCCTCTTCCTTTTTTCCTGAGAGTTTTTTTTTATCAAGAATGAGTATATTTTTTCAAATGCTTTCTCTGCATCTATTGATATGATCATGTGATCATATGATTTTTCTTCTTTAGCCTGTTAATATGGTAGATTACATTGATTGATTTTTGAATATTGAAACTTCTGTATTGTTGGGTTTTGTTTGTGTTTGTTTTTGGTTTTTGTGGCTGGCTAGTATGGAGATCCGAATCCTTGACCTTGGTGTTATCCGCATGCACTCTGTGAACATTCTGTTTTAACTGGTTTTTTTGGACACCACTCCAGCAAAGAAAGATGAGGGGGATGGCATCACCTCATCATTGTCAGGTAGAAGTCGTAGTCCAGGTTCTCCAGTTGGCCTCCTTTAACATCTGGGGTCAGGGGGCTCCTCATTACTGCTGGTCAGGAATGAGAGTTCCCGCTCCCCCTGGTAGGGGTAGCCTAATGACTGCTGGACAATAATGAAAGTCCTGACTCTCCACTAGGTCTCCTCTGACAACATGGCCAGCACAGAGAGAGAGGGGTGCCTCATTATTCCTGGGTAGGTGTGGAAGTTCAGGCTCCCCCCACCCCGACCCCATGCTGTCTCCACTGATGAGGGGGTGAGGGCACCTCACTGGCCAGCAGGGATGAAAGTTCCAGATTCCTACTGGCCTTCATGGACACCACCACACTGGGCTTTTGAGGCACTTTATTGTAGCCTTGGGTGGGTAGAAGTCTAAGCTCCCCTGTCCAACTTTGCTAGTAGAGTCGAGGTCGTAGCTTTTCCTATAGTGTTTGGCTAGAGTAGAACTGGTAATGTCTAAAAATTTTTTTCTTGCTAGGTTGCCCCCTTACCGGTCCCTTGGTTAGATAAAGCAGACTTTTGTTAGGGTTCTTTTTGTTTACGCCCATTGGCATTTCCAGGTGGCTGGCTTCTTTAACTCTAAATCTAGGATATTTGAGGCAAAAAGGAAACCCAAGAATCTTACCTCCCTGTCATTCCTTAGGTCCCAAGGTCACTAACCTGTCTGCCCTCTTCTCTCTACCTTTTAGAATTTTCTTATGTTTGTTTTGTGTATAATATCCAGGGTTTTTTGTTGTACTTTTCCCCATTCTTCCTGCTAAGTATATCTACTCCATCTTTTCACAGGCAAAACTTTCCGTAATATTTGATAATTAACTAGGTTAAACTTGTAAATACATATGATCATGATGTTTTCTAAATGCATAATTAAGGTTTTATGTACTCACAGGTTGGCTTTTAGAACACTAGTAAGAAAATACGGTTGTGATCTGTGTTATACACCAATGATAGTTGCTACTGATTTTGTCAGATCTATAAAAGCCAGAGACAGTGAATTTACCACAAACCAAGGTATGTGAAACCCATAGTTTGCTGACTTTGTGAAAATTTTTTTAAAAAATTTTTTACAACACAATTCAGAGATTTTATATTAAAATATTTTAATTTTTTAAATGCTTTTATAAGTACTTTTAATGTTATTACTGAATGTCTTGTAAACTTGTGATATATATATCAAAGAATAGGGTCCGCCTTTCTAAAGGCCCCATCCTGTCATCTGGACTATTAGAATAGAAACCTGTCTCGCTGCCTCTGGTCTTGTCCCATTTTAAACTGTCCTCCAAACAGCCCAAGGTAACCTTTCTAAAGTGTAAATTTGACCATGTTCTTCCCTTCTTAAAATCCTTTTTGGACTCCTGATTGCCTAAAACAATGGTTTTCAAAGAGTGATCTCCAGACCAGTAGATCAGCAGCATCAGGAAACTTGTTAGTAATGGAAATTCTCAGGCTCCACCCCAGTCCTACTAAATCAGAGACTCTGGGTGTGTGGTCCAGCAATCTGTGTTTTGAAAAGCCCTCCAAGTAATTCTGAGCTTGCTAAAGATTAAGAATCACTGGCTAAAACTAAAATTCCAGCATCTGAGGATAATATACAGAGTTCTTCATGATCCAGCCTCCAAATACATCTTCCGCAGCCTTATCTTCCATCACTTTGCCCTCATATCCCACCAACTTTATTCTTCAAAAGTAATAAATTGCTCACTTGCTTCCGCCATCCACCATGTGATACGCTGTGTCACTGTAGAGTTACCGCCAGGAAAAGGCCCACACCAGATGTGTTCCCTGGACTTTGCACTTCCCAGCCTCCAAAACTGTAATCAATATTGTTTCTTTATAAAAAAAAAAAAATACTAAATTATTTTAAGTCCTTGAACATACTTTGTTCTCTCACACTTCCCTACATAGAATATTCTTTCAGTCATGCCTATCTTCCAGATCCCTCTCTCTTCTCTCTGGCACACTGCAGTTTATGCTTCTTAATCCAGCTCTCAAGGAACCTTTTCTGATCGCTCTCTACTCATGTCCTCCCTCTTACGCACAGGCTCTTTTGTTGCACTTAAACCTACTGATATAATTTTCTTTATATATGCCAATCTCTCCCGCTAGATTATGGGCTCCTTGAGGGCTGGAGCTATAGAAATAGCTTGATTGGTAACCTCAGCATCTAGCACTGTATTGAAAATATATTAAAACCAATAAATGGTTAATTTGAAATTCTGAAACTCTCTTGAGCTACAAAAGGGAAAGCACCCTACATCCCCATGAAAAAAAATTCTCTTATCCCATCATAATCCTGTAAATCAGTGGATTGCTCCAGAAATCTTGAGTCAGTGCAACTGGGATGATGCCTAGAAATCCTCATTTTGGTAAACACCCAGTGAATCTCCTACAGGTGGTCCTCAAAGAAAATTTTAGAAATATTAAAATACATCTACCCAGAGTTTATAACACTAACCCAAAGGTGAGGAAAATATGTTCTTTATAATCTTGCAAAGCTCTGTATTAAAATTTAAATTTTTACATGTAAGAGCACAAATACACTCAAAGACAAAAAAAAAAACAGGAAAACACAACACAATATAATACAAAATGTCTAGCATTGTAGATAACAGGGCTAATTTTTTTTATTCTATATAAAAAAAAAATTAGAAATAGGGCCGGCCCGGTGGCGCACTGCTACAGTGCACCGCTTGGGAAGCGTGGTGGCGCTCCCGCCGAGGGTTCGGATCCCACATACAGACCGGTTCCCGCTCACTGGCTGAGCGAGGTGTGGGAGCAACACCGAGGGTTGCGATCCCGTTGCCGGTCCCGGTCCGGTACGGGCGCGACACTGAGGGTTGCGATCCGTTGCCGCACACGAAAAAAAGACAAAAAGGAAGAAAAAAAAAATTACAAATAAAAAGAGGAACAACAAATATAAAAATTGCCTGTAGAAAAATGTGCAAAGAATATGACAAGAGAGCTCACAAATAAAAATATACAAATGTTGATATACACTGTAGAATAAGTTGTGAGGAAATAAAACTTTCATCCATATTGGTATGTATCTATATTGGTAAACCCTTGGAAGATAATTTTGTAATACCTATCAGAATGTTAAATGTTAAATGCCTATTCAACAGTTGCACTCCAGGGAATTTACCCTATGTATGTACTCACAAAAACATGTATGCAGGAATATAGTCATTGCAGCATTACTTGCAAGAACTACAATAAGAAACAGTCTAGAAACACACTGTATGGTCCACCTGTACGGTAGAGTATCCCACTAAAAAGAAGAAAATAGATCTGAGTACATCTCCCAGATACATCAGGGAACAAAAGAGTGGTAGGCATAGCAGTATATGTAGAACATTCATATTTGTTTAATTTTAGAAGTATATGTAAAATTGTTTTGGAATACAATAAACTAATTCTCACATTTGGGAAGGGAGTCTGTCAAGAGTGCTGGAAGACTTTTTACTTTTCATTTTATCAAATTTTGTACTGTTTTGAATATGTAGTGTAAATTGCTTTTAATTTAAAATATTTTCTAAATGTTTGATGTTACCATATTTGAACAAAGACTTCTTAAGCTGAAAATAGTTATTATTTTATCCTGTGAAACATTAGAGTTTGGTATCGTGTGTGTATGTATATGTATGATTTTTTTTCCTGTAAATTTTAATGTTGAGCTATTTGTTTTATCAGGTGATTGCCCATTGATTGTTCAGTTTGCTGCTAATGATGCAAGACTTTTATCTGATGCTGCTCGTACAGTCTGTCCTTATGCGAACGGAATAGACATTAACTGTGGTTGCCCTCAGAGGTAAAGCTCAAAGAAGTTAGAAAAATTTTTTAAAAGATCGGAAAAAAACCTATGTGGACATGGTAAAATATCTTTCTAAAAATTAAAAAGTAAGGAAAAGAGGGCCGGCCCGGTGGTGCACTGCTACAGTGCGCCGCTTGGGGGCGTGGCGGTGCTCCCGCCGAGGGTTCGGATCCCACATACAGACCGGTTCCCGCTCACTGGCTGAGCGAGGTGTGGACGTGACATCGAGGGTTGCGATTCCATTGCCAGTCCCGGTCCGGTACGGGCGCAACACTGAGGGTTGCGATCCGTTGCCGGACACGAAAAAAGACAAAAAGGAAAAAAATAAATAAATAAATAAATAAAAAAGAAAAAGAAAAAAGTAAGGAAAAGAGAGTTAAAGCACTGGGGTTCTAAACAAGAAAAGGAAAAGAGTGTAAAGAAAGAGTATTTAGGAACATAACTTTAAATCTTTTCTGATGGGTGAAACACGATGTATAGACCCTTAACATGTGTTTTGTCTCCCCTCACCACTAGAATTTTGTGTGGAACTGCCTGGAATCTCATCCATAAATAGTTACATGAGAATCTAATATTTACAGCAGTCCCTAAAAGGCGTTTTTACTGCCATGTCAGATATACTTGCTCTAAAAACTGATTCTGTGATTTGGGAGATCACCACATGTTTTTCTCCTAATTAATTACCCTTACAAAAATACTTTATTATAATTACCTTTTCTTTCTATACCACAGTTATTTTGTTGGGTTTATGTAACTGGGTGTTGATAGGATGCACTTAATTTGACAATAATATCCCTACCGTACTGGCACTGCACTAGATTATCTGTCAATAATTCAAACTGTCCAAAGAATAAAATCAAGGTTTTAAGTACAGCATAATCCAAATCAGATTAGACATATTTGTATACTCATTAGGAGAGTTAAATAAGCTGTTTAGTGGTGTTGGAATGCTGTAAGCCAAAAATATCTTTCTACTATTGAGCCTAATAAAACCTCTAGTTATGCACAATAAACATCAAATTTGGAATTTAAAAAATCTGAAGTAATTGTGGTTAATTACAAATACTTAAATCTGTTTTGGTTGAATGAATTTAAAATTCTCACTTGCCAGTGAAAGCCATTTCCCCTGAGTACTTTTTGATCTGGGAACATGTTTTCCTAATTTCATATTGATCCACTTAGAAATGTTGTATATATAAATTTTAGAAATCTCCATTCCAGATCACTAGATAGAGAAATACATAGATGCACTTACATTTCATTGCTTTAGAATTTTATGTTCTCTTCCAGCTGTGTGTAATTCATTTGTTGTATTTGTTTGATAAAGGTGGGCGATGGCAGAAGGTTATGGGGCTTGTTTAATAAACAAGCCAGAGCTTGTTCAAGATATGGTGAAACAAGTAAGAAATCAAGTGGAAAACCCTCGATTTTCAGTTTCTATTAAAATAAGGTAAAGGCAATATTTTAATCTATTGACAAGATAGTTCATCACTTAGGAAATAAAAGAATTTTTTTGGTGGAATGAGAGTGTCTGTTCTATATAAATTGCTAGCTGATGTATGGAAATGTTGAAACAAGACATTTACTAAATGAATATGTACCGTAATTTTTAATTGTAATCCTGAGCAACTTCCTTTTTTTAAACAAAAGTTAAAACATTCCTTTATTATTAAACAACTTTTTCCAGGTACAACTTAATTAATGCTAAGACATATTCCTGGTACCAAGAGTAAAAAATAGGAAAAATATCTGCACTACAATTTCACCATGAAGAGAAAATAAACCAGGAGTCAGGTTTTGGTGACAGGTTAAAAACATATTTCAAGATGTGTTCTCCCACTTGGGACTTGGACATGCACATCACATATTAAGATAGTGTTTTTCAATTCATTTGTGATGGTACTTTGATGGCTTTTTCATTTATGAAAGCCAGAAGGGAAGAGCACTAGGTAAGGTAAAACTTATCTGTTATCATTTATTGTTGCCAACAGTGAAATAGCTAAATTTGAGGTCTTGGGTGGGAACTGATCCCTGAACAAAACCTTACTGATGGTGGTATGAAGTGATGAAATATCATTTTAGTTCATTAATTTTAACATTAAGATTTGTGTGCTGTGAAAAGATGTAATTTTGAAATTATAGGATCCATGATGACCTTACAAGAACTGTAGATCTTTGTCGAAAGGCTGAAGCAACAGGAGTTTCCTGGATTACAGTCCATGGAAGGACTGTTGAAGAAAGACATCAGCCAGTCCACTATGATGCCATTAAAATAATTAAGGAAAATGTGTCTATACCTGTAATTGCTAATGGAGACATCAGAAGCTTAAAAGAAGCAGAAAATGTGTGGCGGATTACCGGGACTGATGGTAAGAAATAAATACCTGTATTTGTTTTATCTTTTTTTAGTTAGGAAAAAAAGCAAGTAGGGGAGTAATATTAATTTGATTGTCATTAATTTTAACATTGAGCCATATTTCTCATTGTTCTGATTTAAGCTAAGCAATTTATTAAAATAATATTAACTCCTCCACTTAGAAACAAATCATTTTAACTGGAGTAAATTAATTCAGTTACTTTTCTGCCACCATCATATCTAGAGACCAGTTAAGAATTCTTCAGAGTGCTCACATTGGGAGCACATATATTAAAATTGGATCAATACAGAGAAGATTAGCATGGCCCCTGCACAAGGATGACATGCAAATTCGTGAAGCGTTCCATATTTTTAGGAAGGAAAGAAAGACCTTAGTGGTGTGTTGGACTTGCAGAAGGAAAGAATATACTTAGGGTTGTTGGGGGTGGGGATGGGGAGGGATGTCAGAGATTTATTGGGTGGGGGACATAGGAAATAATCACAATTTGTGGTAATGGGCATGCTGATAGTATTGATCTAATCGTAACATCTTGGGCACAGGTGATGACGGTCAGCTTCGTACCCCATGAATATGCATAATCAATAAAAAAAGAATCTTTCAGATAGCTAGCTTATCAGTAAAATAAAGCACCTAGAATAGAAATGAGAGTTAATGAACTCAAAAGTGATTACAGGAGCCAAAGGAACCCCAGAACGGCTATGTAGTTTTATTATTCCCTTAAATTATTAGCATACAAAGCCAAGCCCTATTGTTAGATGGGAGAATTCAGATGAATTTAACCTTTAAGCAATCCAATTTATGACCATCTAGATTTACCCTAAAGAAAAATTAAAGACTAATTGTTTGATATAGAGGTCCTAAATAATAATTCTGTATACTTTCTTTGTTTACAAAAGGTACCAAAATAAATTGTTTTACAATTGAATTAAACAGACTAATGTAAATAAGGGCATAGTGAAACTTGTGATAATACTTTTTTTTTTTTAATATTCTCAGTTTGTTTCATTGAGTTTGAACTAATAACCATGGGTTCTTGATATATGGACATATATGATATGCTTTAATTTGTAGGTGTGATGGTTGCGAGAGGACTGTTAGCAAACCCGGCCACGTTTGCTGGATATGAGGAAACCCCACTGAAATGCATCTGGGACTGGGTTGACATTGCTCTTGAACTTGGAACTCCTTATATGTGTTTTCATCAACATTTAATGTACATGATGGAAAAGATAACTTCAAAGCAGGAAAAAAGAATATTTAATGCTCTGTCAAGCACATCAGCAATCTTAGATTACCTTACAGACCATTATGGCATTTGACTGGACTTCTTAAATTATTTTAATATATACTTTATACATACAGTGAAACCACACAAGGTCATATCTTGGTTTTTATTTTGTCAGTCGCTCTCAAACTTTAGTTTAAAAATAATTCCTGGGAGCATTTTTAAAAATTGGTCCTATACTTCATCTCAGAGGTTCTGATTCAGTAAATCTGGAGTGGACCCAGAAATTTATAGTTTTAAAGAAGACCCCAAGTCATTCAAACATCCTGGTCATCCTAGGTACAAACATTGACAAACGCTGCTCTGAATTCTATTACAGCAGTGAGAATTTTTTTCCTAAAAGAATTATGTTTTTAAAATTTTTAAATAAAACTTTTTATTTTAATACCAAAGTATGACTCATAGTATCTATAAGTTAACAAGAAGTATGTTTATAATAAAAATAAGTGCAAAGAAGTGTTAGAACAATTGCTGACATCTATATAAAATGAAAAAGAACAAGAAATTCTGAATATTATTGCACTCGGGTTATATTAAAAATTCAAATCAGAAAATCAAACATAGTTCCTAATTGAATTACACATCTCAAGGTATTTGTTTTAAATTATATGTAATTAAATTTGATTACATGGGATGTTCTCTATGATTTAAAACTGAGATTCCATGGAACTCTTTAAATGATATTAAATTTGGTGCATTTCAGGGCTTCTAGATCATTAGAAGATTAGTGCTTGATAAATATTTTTGTACTTAAAAAGATAAAATTAATTGCAGCACCCTGCATCTTAAGCATAAAAACTTTGGTAGCTAATCTGGAGATATATATTTGAAATATTTCCTAAAGAATAGTAGCCAGTTTTTATTTTTAATTTAAAAACCTAATTTTCATACTTTGTTTTTAGAGATGTTATTTTTATGCCTCTCAGCAGTTGATAATGATTGTTAACTTTAAAGTCCCATGGTTTGGGAGTATTACTAATAGATTTTGTTATTGGTGAATGTACACTGCAAGAATTAAGTATTTTGGGTTGAAATAAAACAGTTCATAATTAAAATATTCTATATTACCAACATGAAAACTATTACAAGGAGATAATTATCTGAAACTGCTTAATTAAAGAGTTTGGGAATATTAAATGAATCAATTTTAACATAAGCACTGTGCTGCCATATTTTTTCTTAGGCACATTGTGCTTTCACTTTTCAATTAATGTCTTGTTTAAAGATAACTGGCTTTTTCACTTAATATGAATAGAATATAAACAAATAGTTATGGTCAAAACCTAGCTAATTTGATGTTTGTAAATTAACTCTGAAGTGTACTATACTAGTGTTGTGAGCACAGCAGAATCACTAGAGTAAGGTGCCCAGTTTTTGGAAGGAACGAGTGTGGAAGGGCAAGGAGTTCTAATGCATTTGATTAAAAAGAACTTCCTTAGGTTAATTTATATTCAGACTTTTTTCTTTCTGTTACATGATCAAGTGTGTTTGTGATAAATCAAGAAAAAGCATTGACTTAAATGTGTTTTTTTATTCCATAATTACCTATTTTCAACATTTGTTTAATGTTCCCAAAATAGTTGTCTCCAAGAGGATGGTATTTTTATTGACATTCCTGATAAGTTGTCTGTATTGAAAAAAGTCTCTAATATGAAAACCTGGAAAATCATTAAAAGAATACTAATGACGTTTTCATTAACGATGGACCTCATATATGACAGTGGTCCCAAAAGATTATAAAAAATTCCTGAAAAATTCCTAGTGTCACTGTAGCCATCCATCATAACCAGCGCAAGGCATTACTCCTAATAGCACATAGTCTAGGTGTGTTGTAGGCTATACCATCTAGGTCTACGTAAGTACACTGTATGACATTTGCCTAACGACGCATTCCTCAGAACATGCCCCCATCCTTAGGCGACTCACAACTGTATACCCATACCCCCTTACTGCCAGTCCCAAACATCACCCTAAGGTTTATTGCCTTTTCCCAGCCCTTGGACAAGAGTTCTGACAGTACAGATTCTCCTACATTCTCAAGAACGAAATGCTGCACAGCCACCCAATCCTGGCCTTAAATATATCTTAATTCATGACGTTGGAACAGTTTCTGCCATAGACGTCACAGAAAAGGAGTGCGTTTTAAACACGTTCACTAAGTTTGCACCACCCTAATACTCCCGTCCCTGTGCCATTTTTTCCTGGACCCCAGGAAGCTCCTTCAGAAAACGTCGATTGATACCCTCGCCCCCGCCCCGCCACACACACAACCACACTTTAAGAAATGTAACGCCTGCCCTTCTGAAAGAGTATCCCTCGGGAGCCCCAAGTATCTGGGCAAGAGAACTGAGTCATCCCGTGACTCCACCGCCCGTGAGAAAACAGTTATTGCCCATAAACGTGTGGCGCCGCCTGTGACCTCAGCCAGGACGGCCCGAGTGGGGGTGGGGCGGGACGCTCCCCTCCCCCGCCGCGGCGGCGTCTGACGTCCCGCGCATCTGAGGCCGCGGAGCAGCGCGGGGAGCCCGGGGTAAGGCCGGGCGAGACCCGAGGGGGCGCGGGGCGCTGCTGGAGAAGCCCCGCAGAGCTGGCCCGGCCCGCGGCGCGTTCGGGGAGCGCGAGGGTCCCAGGGCGCGGGCGTTAGGGGAGGGAGGCGTTAGGCTGCTGTCCCCGCGGAGCTGGCCGAAGAGGAAGTCGTCGGTGCCGCGCAGGCCTTTTCCGCACGCACGGCTGCCGGGAAGGTGGAGACACCCACCTCCTGGCCCAGCCCTAACCCCTTCCCTTCCCTGCCCCGCCAGGGTTAATGCCCGGCCCTCTAGCTAGGGGCAGATCGGACGCGGAAAACCCCCTCGACAAAAGCGTTGCGCCCAGGGGGCCTTTATTTTTCTTTGAAAGGCAGCCAAGTCAAGTAAGTGTTTCTCTATTCAGGTGTGAAGAGAAAAAAATGACACTCCAATGGACGGCAGTTGCAACCTTTCTTTATGCTGAAATAGGACTCATGTTAATCTTCTGTCTACCTTTTATTCCTCCTCAGAGGTAGGAAACCTTCACGTCGTTAACAATAATACGTATTTGATTAGCTCCTTTAGATTGTGTCATGTAATATGGAGAAAAGTTTTCATAACATTAAAAAGTTTTGACAGCCAATTGTATAAAAGGAACTCTTTAAAAATAAACTTACCTAACAAAGTTAGTAGATGACAATATTAAAATATCACTTTATATATGTGTACAAATGAAATTACTTCTTCCTCCCTTCTGTAAGGTAAAGGGGCCGAATCCTTTTGGTTCTGTCGATTACAAATATAATAAAACAACGATTATATGTTTAACACCTGTCCTGTCTTGTCATCCGGCTTAACTTTGTTTTATTGCCCTGAATTGGAGAAATGAACTTAAGTAAACTTGAATGGATGATTTATATTTACATTACAGCACGGTGACAAAAATGTTTCATTGAGGCAATGGGATGGCAATTTAGAAACCAAAGCCAATGATTCTTAGTTTGGGCCTGATGTAACAAAGAAATAGTTTCATTAGTGTTTGACAATCTTACTACTTTTTATTCCACACAAAATTAATGAATGTATATTAAAAGTGCTGAATATGAAAGATATCAGAACCATATATTAACATTAGTTCCTTAGTAAAGGACCTTCTAAGGTCTTTGCAAGTACTAAGTATTTCAGTCCCAGCATTGGCTCACTTTACCCTTGTAATAATCCACTTGCTAGGAGTTCAGTTTTATATCCAGAAATTGGATAGTATGAATGGTGAAATACACATGTAATAAAAATGTTGCAAGACATTTGTTCATACTCATGGCATAAAAGAGAATCTCATAAATGAGATCCTACAGATAACCCCCTAAGTTACAGTAAAATCACAGGACTGGAAGAAACCAAGTTTTATCTTAGCTCAGGGTCCAGGTAGTCTTTCACAACTCTTAACTTGCTCCTTACCTACCCAGATTTCTACTCACTCTGCCCTTGTGTATCAGCTATACCATCACTTTCTTCCTTACTAAAGAAAAAAATTGAATCATTCTGTAAAAAGGGGGTGTTCAAGATTATTACATCCAACCCACTCATTCTGTAGATTACATACTGAGACCTACAGATGGCAAGTGGCCTAACTAAGGTCACCTAGCTGGTTGTGGCAGATTTCAGATAAGAATCTGGCTTTGAGTCCACTGCTCTTTCTATTTCATCATGCTGCCTTTCATCCTGTTGGTTTTGTTTCAAACCCTTATGAACACCCTGTTTTACTTTTTAGTAATTTTGCAATAATAGAATCCTGTATATTCAAAAGGAAAAAACATCTTATTTATATACATCTGATTTATAAATAAAGCTTAAGGATTTACACACAAAAAAAGTTTTTTCATCCATTTATCTTGTCTCCATCAAAGTGATCCATAAATTAGGGAAGTGTTTTTCCTCCTGCCAAAGATAATTTTTACTCATCCTGATCAAGTAGCTATTAGATAGATGTGTATATATCTGCATCATATATAAATATACCTTTATGTACAAATATAGGTAATAAAATATGGCATATAGGCACACAAATCGTTTACTGTATGTTCTTACTGTGTGTGTATACATATCTTTTCACCTTTCTTTTTATGGTGTATCACCATAATCTTCAAAGGAAAGTTTTCATTCTTCATTTTGTCTCTCCATTCTTTTCTCACATAACTGACTGGTAAAAGGCACATGATCAGAAATCAGACTGCCTTGGTTTGTGTCCCAACTCTGCATGTGACTTTGTGACCTTGAGCAAGTGATTGACTCTCTCTGGCCAGTTTTCCCATCTTCAAGATGGAGGTAGTACTAGTCTCTACCTCATATAGTAGTTGTGGTAATTAAATGAGATAAAACATGTCAAAGTGCTTAGAACCATGATATAGTAAGGACTCAATATATGTTAGCTGTTATTAGCTGCTCTTGAATTGAGTCTTATGATAAACTACTAGTTGCACCCTATAGGGAGTCTCTTGTGTTCCCTTTTATACTGACTCTTGAAGAATAACTGGATTTACATTTGGACCCAGATCAAAATATTGCCATTTATGTTCTCATCATAAAAACATAAAATTTTGTAATGTATAATTTGAGTAGAGACAAAAGGAACTCATCTGTATCAACCTTACTCTCTGCATCAACTTCAAGCTATTACTTCAAAATTTATTAGTTGATAATTTGTCATAATCTTAAAATAAAACTTTCTTAAAAATTAATAAGTGCTTGAAGTGTATCTAAGTGTTTATTGCCTGTGTATGTCTCCTTTGGACTCAGTTAATGTGTTAGTCATTTAAAATTCCCTTGTACAGTTTGTTACCTTTCTAGTTGTGTAATGGATTGCTTTGTCAGTCTTTGCCATTTATAAACCTGTGCTTTTCTACCTCTGGGTCTTTGCTTATACTGTTAAATCCATCTAGACTATTTATTTCCCCATCTCATTTCCTCTGTGTTCACGTCTTGATCTGCGTAGTGATTACATGGTTATATATATATGGGTAAAAATTTATTAAGCTATATATTTAAGATTTTTTCCCTTTACTATGCTTGTGTAATGCCTCGATTGTTTTGTTTTGTTGTTTTTAATTCCTTTGTGGTTAAGGTAGAGAAACTCTTTCACTTGAGTAGATGTTAAAAGTGTACTAACATAAAAGTAAATGTACAGAGCATTAGATCCCCCTATTCCTGAAATGTTGCTAATTGTTAGACCAATAGGTCTTTGTCATTTCTGAGTTATTACTCTGACTAGAGAAAAAGATATAAATAGCTTCTAGCAACAACATTACATTTTACTGTAAGAAGTCCCCTTTTTTTTTTTTTTTTAAAGATGGCCAGTAAGGGGATGTTAACCCTTGGCTTGGTGTTGTCAGCACCATGCTCAGCCAGTGAGCGAACCGGCCATCCCTATATAGGATCCGAACCCACGGCCTTGGTGTTATCAGCACCGTACTCTCCCGAGTGAGCCACGGGCCGGCCCTAAGAAGGCCCTTTTAAGGTTTTGTTCATGTATGTTTACTTTAATAGTTGTTTACTTTACAAGTTATATTTACTTTAAAATTTATTTCCACCTTAGAATATTTAAGCCAACAGACAGAAAATAACCAAATGTCAAGTTATTATGAAATTTGGAAGAGTTGGTCTTTATTTCATGAAACATTTTATGTCATGTCAGAGGATTAATAAATTTAAAAATTAAATTTCTGTTAATTCTTTTCACTTGATACACCCAAAATGTGACTCCAGAATTTAGAAAGTATTTCAAAACCTTCTTTTGCTTTTTTTATACCTAATATAATTGTATTGCTTTACAGATGGCAGAAGATTTTTTCATTTAGTGTCTGGGGTAAAATTGCAACTTTTTGGAACAAGGCTTTCCTTACCATTATAGTCCTATTGATTGTTCTGTTTCTAGGTAAGTACTAGGTCCCTCCTTTGAATAAGCATAACTCTGTTGTTTTTTTATGAAGTCCTTGTTTTTTCATTGTTTATGTTGCTATTGATATACAGTTGACTTTATATAGTATATTGATAGTATATAGAATAGATATTGATGCTTGTATTAATACACATTTGATAGCTACTACTATTCTATATGCACAAGCATAAATGTCAGCAGAGTGCAATGATTCTTAACCTCTTTTAGGTTATTTTAAGTTTAAATGCAGTAATGCATAACCTGATTTTGAGAGGTACCAGATATGATCTCACATGGTTACCAATTATACAATCCTTTGTTACTGTCGTATCCTCGGCACCCAACTGCTTAGCTGTTAGGGAGGTAAAGGAATAAAATCATTAAACTCTCAAAAGGAATCTTAGATGCAGGGTGTGAATCTTGATTGGATCCTGGTTAAAAAAACAGGAATAACTATACAGATTTGGAGACTACTCCTATTTGAACGTGGAGTAATTGTTATGTGATATTAGGGAATGTTTGTTAATTTTAGTTGTGATAACAGCATTATTGCTGTATGTTGGGTCAGCGGCCTGCAGCCTTAGACCAAATGCCTGTTTTTTAAAATAAAGATCAATTGAAACTTAGCTATGCCCATTTGTTTACATATTGTCTATGTCTGTTTCTGCAGACAACTACAGAACTGAGTAGTTGTAACTGTATGGCCTAAAACATTTACTGTCTATCCCTTTACAGAAAAAGTTAACCACAGCTTTTATGTAGGAATATATCCTCAGGTGTAGGAGATGCATGCTGAAATATTTAGGAATGAAGTGTCAAAATTTTTTCGACTTACTTTCAAATAGTTTTTTAAAAGACACACAAAGTAAATGTGGCAAATTTTTTTAAATTGTTGAATCTAGGTGGTGGGATTATTGATGGTTATTGTACTGGTTTTTAAGCATGTTTGACATTTTCATGATGACAACTTAGAAATTAAAATTAGACTTTTAAGGTTCTTGTCAAACCAGAAATTCCATGAGTCTTTATAATCACCATTTTTTTTGGAAGAAGGAACTGAGCTGAAAGAGATTAAGTGCCTTCTCTAAGATCACCTAGCTACTTCTTGAAGTGCCACTTAAGCTTTTGATACACATTACAGAGTATGTTTTCCCTCAGAATTCCCTAAGAATTGTTGTGTTGCAGATAAAGTAGGTTTTACAGGGACCAACCTGAAACCATAACCATCATGTTTCACACTGTTTTGTGAGACAATGTGTTCATGTTCCAAATGACCAACCTCTGAAATAGAATTCTTTTATAAATTCTTTATAAAACTGAGAACATCTGGTGTGAGAGGGTATGAGTATTGTAAAAAACAGAAAGGTAATTGTATCAGGGTTTGAATGGGTTTGTGCCTCATTTTAAAATGTCAGTATTTGTCTCATGGTACATTACTGTTAATGTTTTGGATTGTATCTCCAACCATGTGACAAATCAGGATATACTAGTAAAGAACAATAAGGAAAACAGGTCCCAACTCTTCTACCAGCTGGCTAAATGGAATGGCATTTCATCTCTCTAAGTTTGATTTATTCATCTGTGAAGTAAAAGGAGAGATGGAAATGATCGCTGCAGCTCCTAGTAGCTCTAGAAGAGCATTGTGATCTAACTCTAAAATTATCACAAAAATTTGTACTAAAAGCTGCCACTTACCCATGTAAGGGAGGGGAGCTATAGTTAAGGTTCTCTTGATTACATATATCAGAAACCAACTTCAGTGTGTTTGAGCAAGAAAGAGGAATTGATAATAAAATATGGAGTTATTTCAGAGTACCCCGGAGAAGGAAGGAAGCCAAGTTCCAGGGAGAGACTAGTACTAGGAACCGAGGTGTCCTTTTGTCCCTGTATTTCTCTGTGCATCTACTTAATTCTTTATCTCTATGGCCTCTGATAATTTATCTCCATGGCAGAAAATGGGTATCACACAGCTACCAGGTTATTATCACGTAAGCCATATGCGAGGATTAACTAGCTATCTCTCAATCCCAATTCCAATTCAAAGAAAAAAAGAAATCAGCCAACACCAGGTGTCCACCCCTCCTATGGTAATCTCTGGCCAGGGTCACAAGGATGAATCATGACTGCTGGCTGGAGTCTACATCTATGGGCAGAGTGGATGATTCCCAGAGAACAAGGAAATCATGGATAGTTAAAGTAGACAAATAGATAACTTATCTTCTAAGTCTCAGTTTCTCCATCTCAAAATGAAATAATAACCTACTTAACCAAGGTGTTTTAAGGTTTAAATGCAGTAACAGATGTAAAGTGCATCATCCACTTTTCTAGTGCACTAGAACAACAATGATATCAGTAATACAAAACCAGTAGATTACTCATGCTTAATCTATATTTTACATTGGAATTTATTTTTCTCATTGTTTGTCTCCCTATAATAAGGTAATTATAAGGTGTTTATATTCCTAGAGCCAATACTGACTGAAAACTGTGCATGCATGCATGTGGGTTTTAGGAGATGATAAAAGGCAGAAAGGAAGTAGGAAACCCAGGAATATGTTTAGTGTCAGCGGAAATGCATCCCAAGAATTTGGAAGTTTCCACAAGTGATCTGAAAAAAGATCAAACAAATTTTATAAAGCTAGAAAAAAGCAAGCTCTAGACTTGAAATTAAACCAGAACAAATGAACCAAAAAGAATATTAGATTGATATATATGACAGGAGAATAACTCTTGAACATAATTGTCTAACTGTACCTCCTTGGTGAGATATATTTTAAGAACAGAAAGGATTGTAATGTAATCTGAAATTTTATAGTTTCATTGTTAGTAATTTAAAAACGATTTTATGAATATTGCAGCATAAAGCTAATGAGTACGTATGATAATGGTATTAGAAACTAAGATTTTCAGTAACAGAAATGGTTTATAAATATAAAGTCAAAAAATTAAGAATTTTTAAATTTTGGAGTGATTTACTTGGGTTTTATTTTGGATTGATGGAAATGCAGAACTAGATAGAAGTGGTGGTTGTGCAGCATTGTGATATACTAAGTGCCACTGAATTGTTCACTTTAAAGTGATTAATTTTATGTTATGAGAAATTCACCTCAATAAATTAAAACAAATGATAATTTTTGTTTGAAACTTAATTGATTGTACATATCTATGAAGTATAGCATTGAAAATCCATACCTGTGTGCAATACGAGATGGTCAAATCAGGATAATTAGTATAGTCAACATTATACAATGTAATCATGTTTTGTGGCCCTTTACCAGTTTCTCGCTGTCCCCCTCCCCATTTTCACCTCTGGTAACCTCAGTTCTGTTCTCTCCTTTTGAAAGTTCAACAAAATATTGTGATTGTTGTATCTTTCTTTCTTTTTTAATTTATCTTTGTAGCTCTCACTTGTGAAGACATGCAGTGTTTCTCTTTCTATGCCTGGCTTATTTCACTTAACATAATTTTCTCTAAGTTCATCCATGTTGCTGCAAATGGTAGAATTTCTTCCTTTTTTATGGCAGAGTAGTATTTCATTGTGTATATATGCCACGTTTTCCTTATCTGGTTGTTCATTGATAGACACTTCAGTTGGTTACAACTTTTGGCTATTGTCAGTAAAGCTATGATAAACAATGAGTATAGGTATCCCTTCAACATGATGATTTACATTCCTTTGGGTATATACCCAGCAGTGGGATTGCTGGATCGTATGGCAGTTCTATCTGTAGTTGTCTGAGGAACTTCCACACTGTCTTCCATAATGGCTGAACTAATTTACTGAACTAATTTATTTCTACCAACAGTGTAGAAAGGTTCCCTTTTATCCACATCATCATCAGCATTTATCAGTCTCTGTCTTTTTGATAACAGCCACTCTGAGTGGAGTGAAGTGATATGTCAGTGTGGTTTTGATTTGTGTTTCACTGATGCTTTGTGATGTTGAGCATTTTTTCATGTGTCTGTTGGTCATTTGTATATCTTCCTTTGAGAAATGCCTGTGCAGCTCCTTTGCCCATTTTTTAATTGGGTTACTTGTTTTTTTACAGTTAAGTTGTTTGAGGTTCTTGTGTATTCTGAATATTTATCCCTTGTTGGATGCGTAGTTTGAAAATATTTTCTCCCATTCTGTAGCTTGTCTTTTTGCTCTGTTAAATATTTCTTTCACTGTTTAGAGCCTTTTTAGTTTAACTTAATCCCACTTGTTTATTTTTTCTTTTATTGACTGTACTTTTGGGGTCTTATTCATAAAGTCTTTGCCCAGTCCTACTTCCCAAAGTGTTTCCCCTATGTTTTCTTTTAGGAGTTTTATACATTTTATGTCTTTAATCCATTTTGAGTTGATTTTGGTATATGGCAAGAGGTGCAGGTCTAGTTTCATTCTTCTACATACGGATGTCCAGTTTTCCCAGCACCATTTATTAAAGAGGTAATCTTTTGCCCAGTGTATGTTCTTGGTACCTTTGTCAAAGATCAGTTGGCTGTAAGTATGTGGGATGATTTGCATGTCTCTATTCTGTTCCATTGGTCCAAGTGTCTGTTTTTATGCCAGTACCATGCTGTTTTGTTTACTACAGCTTTCTAGTATAATTTGAACATAGGTAGTGTAATGCCTCCAGCTCTGTTTTTTTTTTTTTTTTTTTTTTTTTTTTTTT